CTACTAATGACAATTCTCTAGCGTGCATGGAAACTTTGCAAATCATTACTGTTGATCAGGCTCAAGGCGGATTGTTGAAATACGGACCATATTCTTGGCTCATTCGAGATTTGACCTAATGTAAATTTGATTTTTTCCTTGAATCATGTTTGCTAAAGTACGTTATATTTAACTGATTGCTTCACCTCAGCATTGCGAAATATTTATAATTCCCTGCAGCCAACACCAATACAAACGATAGATCAAATACATTCATGGTCTATGTCCTGTTGCTGCATGGCTGCCAATAAACATTCATTCCCGAAATGTCAATCTAAATTGCTAATTGCGGTCGTTGCAAATTACGAAATTGAGTTTCGTACCAATGCCAGGTAAATATCAATGTGTGGCAATAAAAATGTAAACATAACAAACGAAATTAAACTATTGTGGGCTTCAGTAAAATTTTTAATCATAACTCTTTATATCATTTCCACTTACTAAAAACGTTGCAGCGCAACAGCATTTTTTACGCCGAATCGACACTCGCAATTACAAAATTGTTACATTACGACAATGACATGATGTTATATTTTATTCGTGTTGGTTGTTTATTGTAAGTAATTCATAATGTTGCTGAAGTTTTTGAAAATTTCTCAAATACGTTCCATTTGTCAATACACTGACTGACCTTTCTTATATATTTTATCAGCCAATGCAGTTTCGTTGGAAATAACGGGAGAGCGCAAAATCTTCAATTTCAATTTATCTTAACTCAAATGTATTGACCGATTTCTTGATTTTTGTTTAAAAAAAGTTCATGTTTTACAACTGCTGGCCATTTCACTAATGACCTGCTCATTAACGTCTATTCAAATCATATAGTTCACCACTATAAATCATAATGTTGGATAATACTCACGACGATCTAATCTGAACCATTTTTATAATTCACATAAGACATTTCGTGCTCGCTTGTAAACATTATATAATAAACGTCTATATGCCAGGCAAATTTTACATGAGAAATACGTAATGCATTATTTGAAATGTACGTTGAATCAAATTCATACTGCCCGAAGACTACGGGAAGTCGATCAAAATATATCCGCTAAAATTGTCAAACACTCAATCGTGACATGTAAATGTGCATCCTCTTAATGGCTACAGACGATTAAAATTATCACCAACATCCTGGGACTCTATTATCTACATTTAACTCATGTTGTTTATTTTGTAAAAGTATTCGGTGGGAGCCAGTCGACTGCAATTTTCCCGCAAAAGTCGTCAAACAATCAATAGTTGAACAATAGACATCCTCGACGTAGTTACGGACACGTTAAATTACTTCCCAGACGCATGTGACGCCTTCACCCAGATGTCACTATTTTCCATTGCTATTCCTCCCATTGTTCTAAATATCCTACTGTTTCATTGTTTTAATAATTAACAATCTATACCCTTATATAACTTTCTGAATTTAATATTATTCAGACAACGAGGCCGCATACGTTCAGCGCGTAGACAGGTATTGAGTGGAAAGCCTTCAATATCTCACAATCTAAGGGAGTGTAAATTTTTGCAATTTACAATTTTACTATTGTGATCATTACGTAGTGTCTTTCAACTTCTAATTATTAATATGTATATGTTAAGCTTTAGCTGCTGGATAGCTACAGATTAAATTCAAAGTTGGCCAGCACATTTATTTCATGTGATTTCAATTGCACGCTATGTCTACTTTTACGTTGTTCCGGTTGAAGTGAGCAGTATTTAATATAGGTGCTTAGATCAGATCGTGGCAAAATTTAAATGCGATTTCTCTTACATATATATAACACTTTATCGTGATAGCACATATGAAGTTGAGAGCAATCAATACCGTCTTCAGGTTACCTAAGGAAATGCTGGTGTATTCATATCATTCTTCATTTTTTTCATCATACATTAGTTTTTTTTTAACCGCAAGATCAAATTATTTATTTATTAAGCTTTTGGTAACTTTAGCAGATTAAATTGAAACGGGTGCTTAGACCTGCTTATGGCTAAGACAGGGCATTTCGTATCGAATAGCAAATTATTCCGATCGGTCATTTTACTGCGCATGCATATTGCAAGGCTGAGCAGAGTCCTAACTAAGTTGCAAAGTGCTTGTAGTATTACAATATTATTTTATTAGAATGCAAACAAAGTACACATTCAACTCAATTAGCTTTTTGAAATGCTACACCGGCCAGCGTTAGCTTTGTATAACCGGTTAAAAATAATCTGTTTAAAGTGATTCCAAAGGAATCTAGGTACATGGACTTAACAGACACGTGTTTGACATCACAATGAACAGTGGCAAGCAAATTACATGTGAAATATGCAACGGGCATTTAAGCTAGGCATTAGAAAATATTTCTCTGAGCCACGCTCGCAAGTGCGCAAGTGCGCGAGATTGATATTCTACTGCGCGAATGGTTTGTTGGAACTGCGCTATGTAAAATTATTCGATTAAATATTCAGCTTTCCAAAATATTCATTCGAACTTTCTCTACACTTTACATAAGTAATTTTACATTTCGTTTTGAAATTGGCTCAACAATAACACATGCTTTCCCGATTGACAATGTCTCCTCAAGCCGTAAAGTAGTAGATTTCAGCGAGTTTTGCGCGACGACACATGCGATGGATTGGCCGAATTTGATGTTGATTAAACGATAACAGTCTTTATCATCTCATATCTTGTTCGTTAATTCCAACAAATTTTTGTTCGCTTTCCGACTTGAAACTTTCCGCAGGGACTGCAACATGCATAATATCACCGACAATTTCAATATTGGGCTTTGTGTATTCTTCATCTAGCAACGTGATGTCGTTCAAACTCACCTCTGCGTAGCCATCGTTTGCTATACTCTTAACATGTATACTTTTAACATGTGCTTACGATTAAGTTTTTTTAATATAACGGACATCTTTTATTAATCCCTCTAATAAATAACATATTGTGCCCATGTTACGTTTGCATTATTTTATGCACTCATTATCAAACGGATATCCGAAAAAATAGTTGCTAACTGCTGTTTGCTTGAATGCTTATTTTGCGAATGCCAACATACGATTTCTAGAATTCTGAACTAATGTTAGTCTATATTCGTAAATTTAAGAAATGGTATTCATTTTGTCCTCCACTGATAACAATTACAATTCTACTAATCTCCGACACCTGTGTAGTACGTATGTCCGGGATGTAACATAATGTAAATGTTTTTCGTTCATGGTGACAGCGAACTCCATAGACAAGTGAAAGAGCTAACGTGAAAGTAATGAGCACTCGCTCTATCAAATATTGTAACTAGTGCCTTTGAGTGTATATTACTTTATAACTACTGACATTCGCTATGGCTCTAATCTGAACAAATACTACTGAGAGCCTTCATCGTTTTCGTGAAGGTAGTTATGGAACGCATAAACGTTATGACGTGAAACTGAGAAACCGCAGTATATATGCTAATGCTTATTGATGTGAATGAAATTTGGTGATTTCGACCCATTATGGAAGGTGCGCTTAGGTCGTTCTGAAGTAAACAATACTACTTAACGTAAAACAAAGACATCGCGGCGTACTCGCCGTCTACATAATTGATCGCTGTTTTACATAAACGATTACTATTATTCACATCAACGTTTCCTTGTTTAGTGATTACAAATTTTGCAAATAAGTTTGTGAATTAAAAATTTTTTTGTCTTTCCTTACAACAGTTTTCGCAGTACCTTATCATTCTATTTCTACTACTCAATTTATCTAAAAAAAATTATTCCTCAATAAATCTACATTTTCAAACTTTCCCTTCTTTGAAATTTTTCAAACCGGGAACCTGAAATGCTCAAACGCTATCAAACTAGTTTATCATACATTTCCAATTTTAATTTCGAATATAATTTATTTTACATCCCTCCTTATATTTAGTTTTGCAGAGTCATTTTTACCTCTTACTATTTCGTAAACTTGCGTTTATTTGAAAATATGACCAGGTTGAACATTATGCAGGTTCAACTCCATTATTAAAACATACATAGCTGACCAAGTTATTTAATTCTTATAAATAAAATTTATTAATATGTTTGTACAGGTGGCTTCTTTCCATTTTTATGGATTACCGACCTTTGAAATTGAATGGATTGACTTCACGAACTTGTTTTCCAATTTTAAGTCTTCGATTCTTTGGTTACCTGACCTTACGAGCTGCTTTCAAGAGTGACGAACTCTTTTCCGCCCGCTCTAACAGACAACTGTTTTATCCCTCTTATCATATGTCTCTTTAATCTGCCATTTAAGGAGAAAATTTCATTGATCACAATATATCGGTTTTAGATGGAAAAAATATTATACTAAAGCTATTTCAGTTTCATGCTCTTTTATACACTGCTCAATTTATTGTCGTAAAGGGGACAAATAAAGTCATTTTCAATTCAGTGTGTATTGATCACTTACGCTTGCAACAAAACCAACTAACTAAACAAGTGCATGAATGAAATTGTTAACTAAATGTATTAAACACTCACTCAAACCATTTCAGTCCCACGACATTAACTACGCCGACTCAGCACTTTAACAGACATTTTAACATTTTGGAAGAACAACAGTGAAACATTTCGATCACCCCGGTTACTTTCATTGTTCGCGCCCTACCGTTTAACAAATTTTGCTGCTCTTTTTTTTAAGTAATTAAATAATTCTGTCGTACAGATCAAATCTGCTCGAATATAATTTATTTTACATCCCTTTTTATATTTAATTTTGCAGAGGCATTTTAACCTCTTACTATTTCGTAAACTTGCGTTTATTTGAAATATGGCCTTTTAAACATATAGCGCTGTTAATAATGCAATTATTGTGGTTGATATACTTTACGCTCCCAACATATTTTTTTTCATAATTATACAGAACTACCATTACGTATTGTATGTACTTATTATCATAATTTTATTTTACAGAATAATATCTTGATATCAGTAAATCTGCAGAGCTGTTTAAGCAAATATTCAAACTTCAACATTACGTTCCATTACGTTACATATTTATAACTGATAATCTAGAACCAAGTTCAAGTTAGTCCCCTTCCCAGTGAATTCATTCTCGTGTTTCTACAATTCCAAGATCAGCTACGATATAAGGTTGGTAAAAACAATATCATGCGGCTTAGACTTCACTATGTTACCTCGATAATTATTAACATACAACACTTATTAGGTATTGTGCATAATGGTTGGACGAAAACGCGCTAGACGTTCATGCTCATACTGCAAAGCCAGAAATCACAACGTGAGAACATGTGGCGTTAAAGCATTGGCTGAAAAGACTGGTGAAAGGAAATTACTTCAATGGTTGGCAACTTCCAATGATGGCAATCCTACTGAAGCTACTTACGATAACGTGGAGGAAACTGAAACTTTTACGGAGAATAACTCAACACGACAAGTAGGGACTCGTCATCCGGTTTTCGGAGATACAGTTCGGGATTTGTTACCGACAACCGCTCCTTCGCCCTGCATTGACGGACTTCGCGATGGGTCTTTTCAAAATTCAGGTGGTATGGTATGGCTTCAACAGGTCTGTCATTTAAATAACTTTCATTTATTGAACAATAGTGGAGGTGGCGACTGCGCCTATATTTCAATTCTTGATGGTATGGGATCCTTGGGCTTACCCAATAAACCGTATGATGTCGTGCAATTTAGGTCAATCGTAGCAGATGAACTAGGCAGTCGTCCACATATCTATAGAGATTTATTAGAAACCGATGCTGATGATCGCAATTCGGAATTTAATACCTTTGTTTTCTTAACACGAAGTAGTCGTGAATGGGCCCAGACATGTTGTTTTTATGCAATAGCGGCCTTATTTCCCATAACAATTCGTTTATGGGACGATAGGACGAAACATTTTGGTTCGTTTGGCACTTTCTCTCAAGTGGTTAATATTGGTTATTTATCCAATGAACTACATTACGTAGCTCTTCTACCGTCCTTAATATCGGCTGCCAATGCACGCGCTTATAATATAACAAGTTGTTTTTTAGGGAGGGAACAGACAGCCAAAAAAAGAAAAATCAGTTCAAGTTCATTCTCATTAGACCGAGACGAAAGCATTGAAGCACCGCCAAAACCACAAGCTGCCTCCGATTTCTTACCAAATTTTACTTCACACATTACTTCTACCAATCGCATACATCAGCGGGCGGAGCGGCCAGATAAACCGGAATATCCTTCGAATCTACGAGGAAATGTACAGGACAACAGAAAATGTGCCAATTGCTACAGAAACGATACAGCTAAGTATAATATTAATTTAGGTATCAGATCACAGGTATCAGGTAAAAAATATGGAACTATCAAACCGAAATCAACCGTACTACACGTACTACTCTGCGATCTCTGTTATAAGTACTTGACTTCAACTTTTAAGTCCACTCGTAATTCTTGGTTTTGTTCTTGGCCAAGTGTTCTTTGGTCAATATTGTCATTTACCGGCCCTGATCGTTCCATTTCTCATAAAGTTTGGTCAGTCTTGCCAAATACAATTAGGGATATGTGGCGTGGAGTGGAATTAAATAGCACATCATGTAGATTTTTAGATCGTACTCACGATATTGATAAATTTAACTCTTTTGTGGGAACTCATGACATAGGATATATTAAAGAGGCTTTCAATACATATCCAGTTGCCGACGTCATATGTCCTTTAGGTTGCTGGGAATTTTTAGAAGATTGCGACTACATTCCATTCTTGCATTATTTGACAGATATTACAGATCTCAAGTTATCAGGAGCTGATCCCGACACATTCAGAGGAGCACGTCCTGATTGGCCGCCGTTGCCAACAAGATATTTAGAAAGTTACATTTGCGCAGCTGGAATATGTGTATCAGATGAACACGGAATATGTATTCTATGGTGCAAGGACAGACACGATTCTCTCAAACGTCCAACAATTCATCCACCAACAAATCCCGTTCTTCGACCAAATGCTGAACAAGGATGCGAATTTTTAGCCCCATGCACTCTTATTCCTCATATAAAACGTTTGGGAAAAATAAAGAAATGGAATTCATCTGGACACGTAATAGACGTACGGGGTGGACATTTCGGGATGTCATCGTGCTCACTAAATCCAAATCCGTCTAAAATGAACATTTCACAAGACCATCACAAAGTTAATTCTCTCATAGTGGGTCAACGTCACGATATCAGAAAAAGACTTTTTGAAGACCAAAACAAACGCCGAGATGCTGAATCGTACCTATTTACATACAATGTACATCGTCGCGAAAAGTCGGGTTTATATGACGAAGATATCATTACGAAACATTTATCTTCGGGAACGTACGTTACGCGAATCGACGCTTATTATATGTGGCGCGCAACAAGGGCAAGGCAAGTACATACTTTACAACAATCCGACGGTGAGTTCATTGATCCCTACAAGATGTTTATAGTAATTGTTCATCCTGCCGACTCCTTCGGCTGCAAACCTTTCAGATGCCAGCTTGGAATTAATTTTAGTAATAAACTAAATTTTTCTAGTAATGATGGCGGTAACTTGTGGTCGCCTGCAGGATTAATAACATTCATACTTATCCACTGCAGACAAATATACAACTTAGCCTTAATGCAGGCAGTTGAAGAATATGACAAATATACCGCCACAATTTTATGTACTGTTGCCTTTATTGAGAAATTTCAAGTGCGTTGTAAACTTAGTATGTCAAAGTTTGTTTTTCAGAACAGCTTCAAAAGTACGGTTCTGTCACACCAACAACGGGTCAGATATTCAGAAGCACACATTCTTTCAGAAATTCTGTCCCTAATTGTTAGGAAATGCGTAACTCGCGTTACAGACGATTTCAGCAATCCACTTTCTTCCGAATTGCAAGATGCAGAACTGCTGTTGATTGCCAAGCCACCTGCTTCACGAAATCGGCATAGCTCACCTCCACATCAGTTCATGGACAGGCATCTTCTCATGCTGTTGTCTTCCAAACATGGGAACGCTTTTAGGTGAGATGACGTCATCTATATTACTTTGTTTTAAATTTAACTTGTTATAAATACTTAAATTCTATTTTAGGTGGGACCAGTCAATGGGTTGGTGGCTGGTCGATGATACAAAGATGTGCAAGTGTCATGTTATCCCACATTTACCTTCGTGGCAACTAGCTATATACGGTGTGACTTCGAATGCGGTCGACGAGGAACATCTTTCAAGATCGTTAGACGGGCAGAGACATTTTAAGTGTGGCAATACATCCCATCATGCCTTTCTAATGAAGGAATCTCGTAACACTTGTAAACAATGCTTTAAAAGAACTTGTTCCAATAAAGCTGTTTGGGGCTGTCACTGGAGCCACTTAGGCACACAGTGCAATGTCGGAATATGTAGGACTCATTTCATGTCAGAAATGCGTAACGGTGAGGTTGTTGAAATACAGGCTGAATGTGAGTATAATCGAACTCCTAGTGCGGTAAGTATGAACGAAGGTAATGATACTTATTATGGCAATACTGACAATCATTCCGTAGATAATGAGGATTTAAGCACTGACGAAGAATATAATAATAGTCTAACTACATTACATCATTCTAACATGGACTTCATTAATGATGAGTCACTGTCTGATCCATTACATACTCTCTCAACAAATCTACCTTCATTTACTGAAAAGAGCGCTATCTTTCCCTTACATTTTCTGTTAAATGATACTTTCCAAGTTTTAAAAAGATGCGTTCGCCGAAGGAAAAATGCACGATCTCATAACATACTTCATCACTTTGCTGGGAACAGTGATTCAACAATCGTTTCCTTACTCTTCCCTGAGGCACAAATTCTTCCGACAACTTTTTGGGGAATGAAAAACAATTCTCCAGTTGGCGCAATGCATCAGGCACATTTATGTAATTCCAAACGTTCTTGTACTTGTAGATCCTTGAGATCTAAAGACGATATGATTGGCATTCGAATTAGGGATCATAACTTGCCAACGAGTCAGCAACATTCAAATTTGCATTTTTATTTCGATTTAAAACTCAACGACAAATTGAACCATAATTCATCAGCACTTGTTTTTAGACGGGGACTTGAGCACATAGCCGAAAACAAGTCTCTACACTGTTTACTACAAGACAGTCCTTTACCTTACGACGAGTCCGACAGCAATGTGAAAATTCGTGAATTGACAGCGCTCACTACAAAGTATCCTTGGAAGTATTGGATGACAATGACATGCAACGAATTAAGGACTCCTGGCATCATGATGATCATCAAGAGCATGAAAAATATAAGCGAGTATCGTTCTGATTATCCTAGAATTTATAATTCTAATATGAATATGATTAATAGAATGTGGCTTCGTTTCGTAAACGTCTTTCTTAAGTATCTTGTTAACAGCCCCGATCAGCCGGCAGGGCCTATTAAGCACATGTTTGCTCGTTTGGAATTTCAATCTACAGGTTCACCTGGTAACAAAGCCCACGTCCACATCGGTGCTGCTTTATTCGACGAATCTGAGGAAACAACGTTGAATCGCATTTCATGTAATCCCGAAACTGTGTTTAATGACGAAAAATTCGGGGTCACGCGTCATCAACTTCTTCAAAAGGGAATCGTTGAAAATTCTTCTGACTTCGATGACCTCAAAAAGTTATATCTTAATCTTTCCACGCATGACTGTTCTAGAGCCGGAGAACGCTGCATGAAACGGAAAAATGACAAAGGAGAGTTAGTATGTAGAGTTCCTAGGCATCCAACAAGTTTTCAGTACTTTTTTCAGGAGAAACGTGATCTTTATTGTCCCGACATGATGGAACGAATGCAAAAAATCGGATTTGCCGACACCACCGAATGCCAACAACCGGATGGTTCAGTGTCCACCAGGTTGATCATGACGGATCCGAGATTACGAGGAGGCAGATACCACTACCCAACTACGCGTCCGCCGACTTTTCTACCAACAATACCTTTACTGCAGTGCGCATTGGGATCGAGTTTTAATTGTACAGCTTGTGATCGTCGATTCGCAACATCTTATTTAATAAAATACCACGTAGGTAAAGAAAGCCACAGCGGCCGTAAGTATATGAAAGGACTCGATAAAGGTAATATAAAAGTTCTTGATGGTGAATTAGATAACGTTAAAATTTCTGGGCAACAGATACTTCATAACAAAATAAATAATAACGATAACTTAAAAGGTTTAGCTGTTACTGAAATAGGATATTATGAAATGAATACTTTTATTAACGACGCCAATTACACAACCTCAACAGCTGATTTCATCCATGTAAACACTAATCCTCCAGAGTATCGCGCTTGGCGAGTTAAACGTAATAAAGCTGCCGGACAGCATCGTACTTATGGCATGACAGGTGGTCGATCAGCCTTTGTTGATTTTAGATTAGCTGATAACTTTCCCCATTGGCGACGCTTCACTGTTAATCAACAGTTGCATGCGCGAGAGTATTTGGATTCAGATTTTAATTATTCCAATACGGAAAAATATAATATTCGACCACCAGAACTGTTGTCTGTCAATAAATTATTAATATATCATGAAATATTCATCTATACAGGTCATCGACTATCTGAATCTAACTTTCATTTATCTTCAGACCCAATGTCCGGCCCTTTCTACGACGCATGTGGACATGAAGTGAAAATAAGAATATCCGGAATACACAAATTGCGAAACTTCTTAACGGAAATAGAGCAGACTTCAGAAAATGTCGACGATCACCATATACCCAGCCGGAACTTTCTCAAAAATCTTCTTAAACAACTTTTATCGGAAAAAAGGCCCGACAGCCAACATTTTTCCAAAATTTTTGTTCACGACAAAACTGCCAGAGAAACCGTTGCTGTTAACTCGTATATATATCCCGATAAGAAGATCAACTTTCTTTACCATCTAGCTATCACTCTTGGTTGTTATGACTCGGAATTTGATTTGTTTCGCGACACAAATTCTTTCCGCGAAGTTTTTGTACGCGCTAGACTTCTCCCAAGAAAAGCAGATTATAACCAGCAAGATGCAAATTTCATTTTTAAAATATATATGGATGCTGAAGGTCTTCATCTTCCGATCACTCGAAAAAAATTGGAACGATTAACGAAATTAGCCGACGAAATTATAACGGAAATTGTCTGCGGTTCCGGTGAAATAATTTCAACAACACCTCCCATTTCTGAGTTGGCGATACGACTTGCTGCTGATGAAGAAATACAAACTATAGAAAACGTTCGAAGAAGAACCTTAGTCGAATCAATACGCAACGCCTTAGTTTACGCCAGTGTAGCAAACCTTCCAACGACGGAAGAAGTTTTCAATGCCAATTTAGAACAACCACTTCAACATTGGATTACAGATGTATTGGGACCTACTTCTACGTCTTTGATACCAAGATCGGATCATCAGTCTAACGAAAGTTATTTGGAACAGTTGGACAGTTTTATGACTACAATTAATGCATTGAGAGTCTACATGAGCCCCGAACCGCATAAATCAGCCAAGAGATTTCCTTGTATAGTAGGACCACCAGGTGCAGGCAAAACGTTTTTGATCCAGCTTGCTGCATTCGTCGCAATGTGCCTGGGTTTCCGAGTGACGCTGCTCTCTTTGACATCCGAACGAGCACGAGCTCTGGGCGGGATACATATTCATCAAGCTTTTCCAATACCAGTTACTAATAAATACAACAAATCACCGGGCAGGACTTATTCCCAAATGATGCTGGCTTTACGCAAATATGGAAAGAAAATGGTTTTATTACAAAGAACAGACATTTTCATCTTCGAAGAAATTGGTCTAATCTCAGCAGAAGTTTATGCAATGTTAGACAGGTGCATGAAAGACATCATGTCTTCCGATGAATCGTTTGGACACAAGTTCGTAATAGCCAATGGCGATCCTTGCCAACTCCCTCCACCGCAGGGCGCACCATTTTGGACGTCCATTCACTTCACGGCATCCTTCAATTCAATATCTCTGGAACATTTCGTAAGATCTGCGAGTGACGTACATCTTCAGAAAATAATCACATTGATCCGACAAAGTTCTCTACAGGAAGAACAAATTCAATATATCGTCAGTATTCTAGGTGTTTCATGCAATTTTGTGGAAAAATGGGATGAAGTTCCAGAAGAAGCAATGCGAATTGTGTCAACTCGTAGAGCTGAACAAATGGCTATTAGTGAATTTTTAAAGAGTAAATCAGATGATCCTAACGTTGAATTGAAAAAGTTTGTTGCAATCGATGAAGTATATGACGGAGCTTCCTGGGGATCAGCCACAACAATGCAAAGTAATCAAATAACCAGACAAGTATTAGAACCTAAAGAAATTTTCCTGTTCAAGGGCTCTGTGCTAAGATTGACATATAACAACAATTTCGGAAATACCAAGTTTTCACAAGGTCAGTTATGCGTTGTTGAAAACTTTGAAGAGACAAATGATGTTAACACAGAAGTTGCCGTTCGCGTTAAACTAGTTCCACCAGGAGAACGCTGTTTATCTAATATAGATTCTAATTGGAAAGATTTTATACTGAAGCCCAGGTATACCGCGGATGTTCTACTAAGCGGAATGACACATGCTAGACGATTGCAGTTACCCATTAGATTTTATAAGGCGAATACCATCCACCGGGTTATGGGAGAAACGTGCCAACTAGTCGCCACGGAAATAAATAATGAAGAGCAACAAAAGCGTCATCTACGTCTCTGGGAGAAGTCGCAAGTGCTCGTTCTGTTATCGAGAGTTCCTACTCTGTCTTGCCTATTTTTTGTTGGTAATCGCTCTACAACATTGGGTACTCTGACTGAAATATTACACACAGAAGACTATTGGACTACACACATCAATGAAAGACTCCTATCGAATGCAACTTGCCCATCTACTTCCATGAGCAATTGCAACTACCCTTATTCCTTCAGCGCAAGGGAAATACCAGCTTTTAAATCCGGTGTAGTATATCTTCTCGTTTCTCTACCTTTTCCAAATGTATCGTATTTAGGACAGACCGGACGCAACATCAAACGCCGAATTGCAGAGCACAACGCAGGCAATGGTACTACCTTTACTAGCCAAGCGCATTACATGCCATGGGTTCCGCTTGCTATAATTTACGGATTTTCTGACGATATTTCTGAACTCGATGCGGAAAGGCAGCGGAGACACGTCGAAAGAACAATACATCTTCATGTCCAAAGACATTCTACGCCTGAAACCGTTTTGTCTGTTATGATGAACGTGGTGAAAGGAAATATTGACTTTGAAGACAGGATGCATTATTATGACAATCTCGTTGTTGAAAGATTGGGAAAACTTCGACTGAATGACAATAATGGACTTGTAGCAACTGAAAACACTTAAACATTATTACTCTCAATATGCTTCTTCAATATCAAATTAACAATTAAGATACGTCAAACACTGACCAAAACAAATATTTTTCCTACCTATGGTACTGTTGCCTTGTCGTGGCAGGTAGGCTTTAGTCCCTTAGTGAACCTACGACCTGTGCTGGCGGGAGTTTTCACTCTCGTGAGGTTGACCCATGTCAGCGAGATCGTAGGAAAGAGGGCAAACTAAAACAGTACAACGTTCTTGATAAGTTTTTTTAAATTACATTACTGAAATACCGAAATGATGACAAGGCTTTGCTTTACCTAATACTTCAATGAAATGATAACATTAACGTTTCCTTGTTTAATGAATATAAATATTTTAAATTATGTTTGTGCATTAACCGTTTTCTAGTCTTGATTTACGACAAATTTCGCATTACACTACCATTTCATTTCTATTACTTACATATTATTTTGAAGTTTATGCTCTTCATGTACAATTTAAAATTTCTATTTTCTGAAAATTAAAACCGGGAATGTTGAATTCCAAAACGTTATCAATCTAATTTATCGGAAATTTGTTGTTATTTTGATTATCGGATTACTGCAAAAAAATTCCATTTAATTGTCATGTTCAAAATAAATCTCATTTGAATAGTTTACACCATTCTGGTGAAATTTGTTGTAATATGTTATGATAAGATTGTTAAGTTTGTATAACATAATACTTGCAAAACGATTAACAATTACATATCGAGACATTATTTTTACAGTATCTATTTTGAATACCATTTTACTTTCACATGACTTTCAAAATTCTATTAGCGCAAAACCAAGCGACTAATCACTGGTAAAACTTGCACAGCTATCAAGCTAACTCAATTTATTTGAGTTACTGTAAATACAAGCAGTATTAATACCCTTTGATGTATTACGTACAATTGTGAAGGCTCGAGGTCACTTCACTAATCGTTTAATACTGAAAGATTTTCATATTTTCAATATTTTAAATCTTATGATCATGAGGTAGTATATTTTACCTCTAACTATTAATATATTTAGTTAGCTTTTGCAGATTGAAGTTATAGTCATCCACTACGTTGAATTATATATATTTTAAGTTATTGTCTGAATTTTATACCAAATCATAAACTGATCATCCCTGATAGGAATCGCTTTTTATTACTTTCAAAGTCCGTGCTCAGTCAACCGTGACGAATTTTTTTTGTCATGAATTTCACTTTAAATACCCTGTATAACCCAAATATGGCATCTTAACGGAAGTCGATTTCGATCAATTTTAGGGTCCGTGTTCACTCAACCGTGACGAATTTTTTTTGTCAATAACTTCACTTTAGATACCTTGTATGGCCCAAATATAACTGCCCCCGACCCCTTCAGTCCATTAAGAAGTTCAAATACCACGTAATAAACTGATCACCCCTAACCGGAGTCGAATTTTTCCAATTTTAAGGTCCGTGATCACTCAACCGTGACGAATTTTTTTTGACACAAACTAGACCTCAACTACCTTGTATGACCCAAATATTGCACCTCTACCTTCTACCATTCTCGAGATATAACGTAAAATCACTGGAGCGTGACTGAGGAGATGAGGAAATAAAATTTATTCCAAAATAGATTCAAATAATTTTTCTAAACATGCCCATGCCTTTACTTTCTCAACAGATCCTTTCAGAGGCCTGCAATAAGCCAAAATCACTAGACCATGACTGGGGAGTGAGAGAAAAAAAATTTCTTGAAAAAAGCATTAAACTAAACTTTCCTAACATACCTATCTATTTTATTTCTCGATAGCTTCATTTTTATGTGCGCAACCTGCTTACGCCACTGGAGGGCGATTGGGAGGGGGAAGTCCCAAGATTCAGGTGGTGAAATATTCTATATATTAGTCCCTTTGAGATTTAAGCATCACTTTGCCCAAAAACCAATTCCAAGTGCTCCTAATAGCCCAAAAACCATATTACCTAAGTGGGCGTGGCTTTCCACACGTTTTCTCACCACTGGGGGGTGGTGGCACTGCCCCCACCCCCAAATTATACTTGGAAAAATTCCCAATACTCGGGCAAACGCTTTCTGACCCCGGAAACAGAGCTAAACGGCCTCTAAACCCCAAACTCACTCTTGCGTGACTTGATGGACAGCCGATTGACCAATCAGCAGCCTTGTACCCCTAAAATCCCGTTTTGGCCCACTTCCTTTGGCCCGATCGCTCCCAAAAATTTTCTGTGTTTGTTTGGTAACTAGCCCCCGCTACATGCCAAGTTTCGTCCCGATTGGCCCGCCAGTTTTCTGGGAAATGGTTTTTACCAGCGACGGCTGTTAATGTACTTCCAGCTTTAGTCTTTCGTGCAACGAATTCTGATCTATACTGTGCATACGCACTTTCAGTGCTCTCCGGTTGCCTAACCATCCAGGGGAGGTCGCTACGCTACCCGCGAGGGGATATGTATTGAAATATTTTTAGTAAATTAAGAAGCAGATGTTTGTTTGAAGTTTGTTGAAGGACCCGGGTCGTTGCGCCGGACGAATGACGGAAATTCGTCCGGCGCTCTGCCCCCGACACCTCTAGTCCATTAAGAAGTTCAAATACCACGTAATAAACTGATAACCCCTAACCGGAGTCGAATTTTTCCAATTTTAAGGTCCGTGATCACTCAACCGTGACGAAAATTTTTTGACACAAACTAGACCTCAACTACCTTGTATGACCCAAATATGGCATCTCTACCCTTTACCGTTCTCGAGATATAGCGTAAAATCACTGGAGCGTGACTGAGGTACTGGAGAAAAAAAATTTCTTCTAAAATGGCTTGAAATAATTTTTCTAAACATGCCCATGCCTTTACTTTCTTAATAAGTCCCTTCAAAAGCCTGCAATAAGCCAAAATCACTAAAGCGTGACTGGGGAGTAGGAGAAAAAAAATTTCTTGAAAAAAGCGTTAAACTAAATTTTCCTAACATACCTATCTATTTTATTTCTCGATAGCTTCATTTTTAGGTGCGCAACCTTCTTACGCCACTGGAGGGCGATTGGGAGGGGGAATTCCCAAAATTCAGGTGGTGAAATATTCTATATATTAGTCCCTTTGAGATTTAAGTATCACTTTGCCCAAAAACCAATTCCAAGTGCTCCTAATAGCCCAAAAACCATATTACCTAAGTGGGCGTGGCTTTCCACACGTTTTCTCACCACTGGGGGGGTGGTGGCACTGCCCCCACCCCCAATTATACTTGGAAAAATTCCCAATGCTCGGGCAAACGCTTTCCGACCCAGGAAACAAAGCTAAACGGCCTCTAAACCCCAAAATCACTCTAGCGTGAATGACTGACAGCTTGATTGGCCAATGACAGGCCCCAGACCCTTAAAAGCCCATTTTGGCCCACTTCCTATGGCCCGATCGTTCTGAAAAATTTTCTGTGTTCCGTTTGGTAAGTGTCCCCCGCTACATGCAAAGTTTCAACCCGATCGGCCGCCAGTTTTCTGGGAAATGGTAACTCGTAGGGTCTGCCCTAACATACTCTGGACTAGTCTTTCGTGCAACGAATTCTGATCTATACTGTGCATGACGCACTATAGTGCTTTTCCTTGCCTAACCATCCAGGGGAAGGTCGCTACGCTACCCGCGAGGGGAAATGTATGGAAATATTTTTAGTAAATTAAGAAGCAGATGTTTGTTTGAAGTTTGTTGGAGGACCCGGGTCGTTGCGCCGGACGAATGGCGGAAATTCGTCCGGCGCTGTGCCCCCGACCCCGCTAGTCCATTAAGAAGTTCAAATGCCCTGTAATAAACTGATCACCCCTAACCGGAGTCGAATTTTTCCAATTTTAAGGTCCGTGATCACTCAACCGTGACGAATTTTTTTTGACATAAACTAGATCTCAACTACTTTGTATGACCCAAATATGGCACCTCTACCTTCTACCATTCTCGAGATATAACGTAAAATCACTGGAGCGTGACTGAGGAGATGGAGAAATAAAATTTCTTCCAAAATAGATTCAAATAATTTTTCTAAACATGCCCATGCCTTTACTTTCTTAATAGGTCCTTTCAGAGGCCTGCAATAAGCCAAAATCACTAGACCATGACTGGGGAGTGAGAGAAAAAAAATTTCTTGAAAAAAGCATTAAACTAAATTTTCCCAACATACCTATCTATTTTATTTCTCGATAGCTTCGTTTTTAGGTGCGCAACCTTCTTACGCCACTGGAGGGCGATTGGGAGGGGGAATTCCCAAAGTTCAGGTGGTGAAATATTCTATATATTAGTCCCTTTGAGATTTGAGCATCACTTTGCCCAAAAACCAATTCCAAGTGCTCCTAATAGCCCCAAAACCATATTACCCAAGTGGGCGTGGCTTTCCACACGTTTTCTCACCACTGGGGGGGTGGTGGCACTGCCCCCACCCCCAATTACACTTGGAAAAATTCCCAATACTCGGGCAAACGCTTTCCGACCCCGGAAACGGAGCTAAACGGCCTCTAAACCCCAAACTCACTCTCGCGTGACTTGACGGACAGCCGATTGACCAATCAGCAGCTTCGGGCCACTAAAATCCCGTTTTGGCCACTTCCTTTGGCCCGAATCGCTCCCAAAATTTTCTGTGTTCGTATGGTAACTAGCCCCGCTACATGCAAAGTTTCGTCCGGCTCGGCCCTGTGGTTCTTCAGATAATAGTGATTCACGGTCGCTTAGAGTAGTTAGCTGTAGCTATTGACTTTCGTGCAACGAAATTTGATTCTATACTGTGCATACGCACTTTCAGTGCTCTCGGGTTGCCAAACCATCCAGGGTCGGTCGCTTCGCTACCCGCGAGGGGAAATGTAAGAAAGAGATTTGAGTATAAAAGAGCGGATGTTTCATTATGAGTTTGTTGGATGCACCAGGGTCGTTGCGCCGGACGAATGGCGGAAATTCGTCCGGCGCGTAGCCCCCAGCCACTTTAGTTCATTAAGTAGTTTAAATAACACGTCATAAACTGATCACTCTCGATGGATGT